GACCCATGCTTTTATAATTATTTGAGCAGGGCAAGCACATTTTAATTGGCATTGTATTTTAACAAATCACACACGCTTCTGATACTTCATTCACATACTTTATTATTTGGCTGCTATATTTCCGCTTTATAAAAAACATTTATATTGCACAAACTATTTTCAAATCTAATCAGATATTCTCTCTCTTCTCCTCCCATTTCCCCTCTAAAAAGGGGAAGAAAATACAGTTTCTTCTATGTGAATATATCAGTCAAGATTCATATAATCTACCAGAGACCATAAAATCCTTAAGAGTGTGTTATCCTATTCATACTTATATTCTCCACACCTAACAGAGCAACTGGCACATAGAAGACAATAATATTAGCTGAACTGAATCCCACAAGCTATAATTTTTAAAAATCCATGATTTCTTAGTAACAAATGAAATGAATTCTAAAAGTTAAACTGAAATGCAGAATGCTAAGGAGAGAAGTGATAAATCAGGGTGAAGTTCACATTTCTTCAATCAATATACATTTTTTTTCCGATCTAGAAGAGACCAACCTCCCATTTAAGATACTAAAACCCTATAAAGAATCTGTTTTCTTAAAGACCATATTCTGTTAGCCAAAATTAGAACTAAATCTAGAACCAGATTCTGCATCCTATGCTCTAGTACATCACTTAAGAATAATCAACATGTTAATTACTTTAAAACAGCTAGGATCTGACTGAGAAATTACAATGGGAAAATAACACAGTTTAAGGCTTTAAAAGAGAACAGAGGAAAACATTAGAAAGATTATGGGCTTCTAATCCTGGCCCTTCCAATTATTAGTTGATTGATTTTGGTAAATTTACTTAACCTCTTTGACTCTTGATTTGTAAAATGGGAACAATAAGACTTGCTATGAGAAGTAAATGAAATAACTGGCTGGGATTATAGTAAACTCCCAATATATGCTAGATGTCATCTTCCATTAAACTATATAATTGGTGCCCAAGAACAAGTAAATAAATGAATCATGTAATCTTTTGAAAATGTGAGAACCTTAATAAAAGATACATTAAACATACTTATAATGTTATGTAACTTCTGACATTTTTCACTATTCTAATTTTTACATGAAGCATTCACAGATTAGAATATGGAATGATAAAAATCTTGCAGGTTAATGAACATTTTGTAGATAATTTTGCAAAATATATTTTTCAACTGCTAGGAGACCTTTTTCCATCTTACTCTCTATGATTTAACATTATGTACATACATAGTATATGCAAGTACATAATGTAACAGGATATATGATAAGATATATCTTATAACACTATATAGATATGCTTTTATAAATAATTGTCATAATAAGCAGTCCAGCAAGGTAGGTTCTGCCATTTCCATTTTATAGTTGAGAAAATTTAAGTTCAGTAATATTAAATTACTTATTTAGAATGACATGCTGTCTTGGGCAATCCCATCCACTTTTCTGTATTTACTTTAACATAACCCCAGCATAACAGGGTCCCAAAATATTCATGCATGAACGGAGAAATAAGTAAGAAACAGATTTCAGTTAGCCTGTATGGTATGTGTGTCTCTCTTTCTCTCTCTCACACACACAAATCACAAAAGTAAAGATAAAAACACTTACACTGTAGAAAACTAAACAAAACTAATAAAGGCACACTGAACTGACAATGAAATAGAATCTTTCTAATCAAACCAAGCCCCCTGCTGAGGACACTCATTTTAGCTCCCTAATTAAGAACAAAGGGTCAAAGGCGGATAGAAGCCAACTGCCAATCACATGACATCCTAATTGCTGTTACTGTAAGATGTATCATCACAGGCTTTTATTATCATACCTCCAAGCTGATGACTCAGAAGTCTCTAATTTCCAGCTCTGACCCTGCCTGAGTTCCAAATTCAAATATCTCTCTGATTGCTTTCTTGGTGTGTTCCTCATCTCAAATTAACTTACCAATATCTACCAGAAAATTGGCATCATAATTGATCCCCTTTTCTTCATGCCAATTCACTGACCAGGTCTGCCTATTTTCCCCTCTATATTTCTTTGAATCCAACCCATTCTATATCAGCTAGTGCAGACTCTCAGAATCTCTAAAAGGACAACTGAAATAGAATCTTTAATATGCCCGATCCCTCACCCCCAAATCCACACTGACATCAGTTACCTAAAATGACATCTGACCATGATAGTTCTTTTCCTAAAATCCTCTGAAGGATCTCCAACAGATGAAGTCTAACCTCTTTAGCAAATCCTTAAAAACTATTTATCTATCCTGCTAGTAGTATGGTATTAAATAAACACCAATTACTAGTAATACGTCATACTGGTGCTTTATTTATCAATTCCGTCTGCCTGGGCATAGCCTGTATCATCTTTAATTGGATGGCTAATACTTACATTCCCCAACTCAGCCCTTCCAGAAACCTTTCCTAGAATTCCCTTTCTCTATGCCCTCAAAGCATCATCCTATGCATAATACTATGAAAAAGTGTACTGTATCATATTTCCCTCTAGACTTGAAGGTTTTTCATGGGCTTTGCCCATATCCTAAATGGAGTAAGTCTCTCCATTTAGCACAGTCTATCATAAAGTAGGCACTCAGTGAACATTTTTTAACCAATTGTTTGAACTATACTGATAATAAATGGTGAACCAGCATATGAACCTAGATCTCTTTAACTCTATCTTCTTTCTACTGTCGCATTCTGACTCCTACTTTGTTCTTTGCATATAAAGCCCAAATCTAAATAAACTTAATGCCTACTGTCACAAATATCTTCCAGATTTTTCCTTTGTACTATAAGATTAAATTTGGGTTTTACATTTTATGCTCTGATGAAGTAAGGGATACTTCTAAACAATAAGCATTCTGCACCACATTACTGAGAAATTTTACAAAAGGAAATAAATAACTCAAGAAAAACTCAAGTATCTACAGAAAATAAGAAAATCATTTAGTCATTTTAAGGTTATGAAGAAAATAAATGACTTAGTACCATCAAAAAATATTACCAGAAAAAAATAAGAAAATTAACCTTCCAATAAACGAACGAGCTGACATTAACCCAATGATCTACAAAAGTTTACTTGGACGTCATGCAGACTGTTACTCGCAAAACAGAATAGAACCAAATATGAAACCAATAACCAAAGTAAGTGCCAAATAGCTTCAGAAAGACATCTGGTAACCCAAATATGTGATTTAAAACCTCAGGGATTTGAAGAAATAAATGCATTCAAAGATGATGAAAACAATGCATAAACCAATGAGTTAGTGAACTCATTATTGATGAATACAACTAAAACACAATTCAATTTATAATGTTTTAAAAAATATAGAGATAGTCAAAAGGATCTGAAACTGGATAATATAGTTCAAATATACCATAAATAAAAATGTAAGGTTTCTGATTTCTGATATTGAAAAAGAATGCAATCCTGAAACAAACTGTGTTAGATTTGGGTAAAGTAGATGTCATCAAATATCCAGGTACTAAAATAAGACAGAAGAAATGAACCATCATTAAAGAGTAATTCTATTTTTGCATAACTATACAGGGCAGTCTCTGCCTCCCCCCCACCCTCACCCCCACCCTTACCCTCAACTTTCACCAAAAATAAGCCAAAAATATATACATACACAAAAGCTGGTTCTTGTTACCATTTGAAATCAACTCTTTCTTGGCAGTTCTTCAATATATTTTTAGCTCACCACTTCTGGTGACTATTTCTTTTCAGAATATTATGCGTGCTTTTTAACAAAGTATTTATTACAATTAGGTTTTGTATCTACTCGTAACTACCTACTTCCTGGGCTAAAATTTGTACAGAAGTAAAGTTGTATCTTATAATAATAGCTAACATTTAAATAATGCTTTTCCATTTTCGTATACTAAGTATTTTAGTATATTAATTCATTTAGTACTTAAAATATCTCTTAAGTGCTCTTATTTACACACTGGAAACCAGGTCACTTGGTCTCACAGATTTTTTTGTTATTACAAATTTAGGATTAAAACCAGGGAGCCTGATTTTCTTCAAGCATAAATGCTCTTTCTTAATTTTTAAATATCCACTTCCATAATCTCTTCTTCATATTTTCCTTCTGCAGAGACCCATTAACTTTTTTTTTCTCACCACTTTTATATTCACAAACTATGGAGAGTACAACTTAAAATACTCTACCTTAACTAACAATTTTGTTCCTGTTTTATTTCGTCTTAATACAAGCTTTAAAAAAATCTACTGAGTGATAAACTATCGTCTAAGCTTAAAAATAAGTCTTTCCAAAAAATACTGGAATCTCCACCTGTCAAATGTAGTTCCTCGGCATATACATCCAATTCGAGGCAGCACTCTCATTACACCTGCTTCAAATACGCTGTTACAACGGATTGATTTTACATAATTCTTCTATTTTTACTTTTCTTATCTTCAAATAAAAATATTACTCTAAATTAAAAAAAAACTCCTTTTCTCTTATTCCAGGACAGTTTTTGTTTCTATATTCATGTACTCATCAATTACAACAAAAACGTGTCTTTTCCTCCCAAATCTCTTAAATTATAGCTATTTTCACTGAAGATCCAGCGCCACCTGAGCTGCACTTGCTAATAATCCGCGCTGCTTGCTGCGTGTCTTTCTGCGAGTGCGCGAGAATCTTCCAGAAGGTTTTGGTCACACAGACGCGCCCGCCATGTTGCTTTTCCTCTCCCGTGGAGATCTACTCTGTCAGCCTATGAAACTTCAGACGCTGGAGTCCTGCGGAGCAAGGGCAGAGGCTGACTGCGTCAGGCCCTGAGGTTTTACGTTTCCAAGAGGGAAGCGCTCTAGGGCTCTAAATGCCGAAGTGCCGCGCCCTTCCCCTGGAGTGCTCACCCACTCGCGTCTGAACTGCAGAACGTCAGGAAACGACGGCCGATTCGACTTCCTGCTAAGAGACGGGCGAGGGGCGGGTTGTGTCGAGGGAGATTCGAAACCGGTACTTACCAATGCGAGGCGCTGCCTGACTTTTCCTCTGCAGGTTTCAGGAAGACCCTCTGTAGGTTATTGGACATTTTAGACAGGTGGGAGGGGGCAGTACATCCAGGAAAGCGGGGAGTATAGGGGCCGAGGTCCTCCAAGGGGCGAGAACCAGAGCGAGAGAATGTTGGGCTGGAGTTGCCCTGGAGCAACTACGAGGGATTCGACGCGGTCTCGGGAGGGCGTATCCTCAGGCTTCAGAGGGAGGCGGCGCAGCCACCAGAAACAGGAAGAATCGGAGCGGCTGACGGGGCGGCTGCAGCCCTAGCCTCCGAAACAGCAGCAGGTTCCAGTCCCCGCCCCCTCAGAGCGTAGGCCGTCGCTCCAGTCATCCGGAATCAGCGCGGGAGGCGTGGCCCTTAGTGGCACCGCCCCTACCGGAGCCGGATCAGTGGTGAAGACCAAGCCAGGCAGGATCGGTGGACCCCGCCCACAGAAGCCGCTTGCCCGAGGAAAGCTCAGCCCGGCACCTTCCGGAATCGTCATATCCGGTTGCCTAGGTGACTGGCTCGCTAAAGCCCCGCCCTTATGCTACAGTCCAATCATAGGTGATGCTTGCTGTCTCTTCTTCCGGATCAAGTAACGAATCGCAGAGGAAAATTCTTCAGATATCTACGCAAAATAAAATGTTTCCGGGGTCAATCGCAAATTTTCTGCCTTTCGTTCGCCGCTAGTGTAAGTTTTCCTGCCCCGCCAGTGTTTTAAAAGACATCGGCGGGATCTTTTGGAGTCGTAAGCATTCCTGACTTGAGAAAATTTTAGACGCCTGCCTGTGGCGAGCCTTTGTGTTATTACTACTTCCTGAGGGTTTCTCGTTTTTTTTCCTCTTCGTGAAGCTTTTCCTGGAGACTTTAACTAACAGCTCCCGCCACCCCACGCTCATGCCTCGCTCGAAATTGTTATTGTCTTATAATTAGTTTATTCTCTAAAAGTTTCATTCCACGTATAAATGTACTTTTTGGCATCTTTATTTGGATTTCCAGAGAAAAAACTTTTCAGAAGTCTCTTGATTCCTGCTGTTAAATCACTTACCCGAAAAACAAGTTAGGTCTCTGGCATGAGGGACAGTCTAGTTCAGCTGAGGCTCCAAGGAAGCTGTGGAAAGAGTGGTTTAGAAGATCCAGATTTATCAGCTATAAGCAGTAAAAAGTAAACTGACGCGTACTGTTAAAATTTAGATTGATATAAGATAGCCAATTTAAAAGTTTATTTTGTTCTTTTAAAAATCCTGCTTACTTATTCTCCTAACTCCTTAATGAGCCAATATAGATGAAAGACCTTAATGCCTGATACATTAACAGAAAGTAATATTTTAACTACTGTTCACTCTTTGTTAAAGGTTAATTTTAACGATATCGAATCCTGTATGTGTAACTGGCATCTATCTTTCAGTCAAATATCTCCCGTATTACTACAGAGCGGGCAGAATGGTAATCCCTTTATACTGTCTTGGTTTTGGTCATCATCCTATTTGTGAAAGCAAAAATGACTTTAACGAGTTGCCCATTTTTGGCTTGTTCCCGTTTTCTCACTATTTCTTTCTTTCGCAGTTTGACTTCTCATATCCATTAACAACTTCTTATAAATGAAACTTACTGTCATAGATTAGGTTCCCTGGGAAGCAGACTCTTGCGATGGACTTTGGTATGCAGAAGGTTTGTTAGGGATCATTATCTGTGAAGGGAAGAAAAGGAAGCAGAATTGGGCAGAGGGTGAAGTTACGTTGTGATGCCCAGTGTCAACAAAGGCCTTAGACTATCGCACACACAGCTCTAAAATTAAGATGAACTTTTGAAGTTTTCCCCAATGATATGCAGGATTGCCAAAGAGGGGTGTCTGACCTTAGGCAAGGAGGATCTCCTTAGCTGAGGCAATTACTCAAGAAGCTGATAGCTGAGGCATGTCTGCAGGCAGCACTCCCAGTAACTGGTGGGATAAGACCTTCATTTCTCAAGGGAGGTCTGGGAGAGTCATCATAGCACCCACTGTGCTCATTAAACAACTCATTCAGCTGTTGCAGTTAATGCTGTTTATTGCATTTGTTCAAATCTTTACTCAGCAGCATTATTATGTCTTCACTCTCGATTTGAAGATTTATCCCTTCTTTGGCCGTTAAACAGAAGAGTTCTTTATTTTTTGTGGGGGTGATAATTGGTTTATTTATTTATTTTAGAGGAGGGTACTGGGGATTGAACCTAGGATCTCCTGCATGCTAAGCAGGCACTCTACCACTTGATTTATACCCTCCCCCGGAAGAGTCCTTTAAATCTTGATCATTGAGCCTCTTATTTTCTCAAACTCTTATTTCCTGGCTCCTCAAGTGATTTCAGCCATGCCTATGGCTTCAATTACCACCTCCAGCGATTGCTATACTAACCAAATACTTACACAATACTGTGTGCCAAGTAATATTCTACGTGCTTTACAAATATTAACTTATTTACTCTTAACAACTAGTAAAAATGATTACATTCAGATGAAGAAACTCATGCACAGAGAATAAAGTAAGAACATAGATAAAGGGGTGAAAGACCAAAAAGAAATTAGAGAATTTTAAATATGAATCTATTTAGCTAGAATATATAGTGACAATTCTAAGCAGGAACTAACAGAAATGAGTAGATTAATAAGTCAACAAATGCAGGGGATGATTTTATACACATACATCTCTGAGAAATTAATAATTGAAGCAGACAAAAGATAGGCATAGATAACAAAGCTACAGCTATCCAAACAGTATGCTATTGGCACAAAAACAGACACATAGATCAATGGAACAGAATTGAGAGCCCAGAAATAAAACTACACTTACATAGGCAATTTATCTAAGACAAAGGGGTCAAGAATATACAGTGAGGAAAGACAGCCTCTTTAATAAATGGTGTTGGGAAAAATGGACAGCTACATGCAAAAGGATCGAATTGGACTACTTTCTCACACCACATGCAAAAATAAATTCAAAATGGATTAAAGACTTAAACCAGGACCATAAACTTTCTAGAAGAAAACATAGGCAGCACATTCTCTGACATTGGTCTTAGCAATTCTTTTTGGATGTGTCGCCTCAGGCAAGAGAACCAAAAGCAGAAATAAACAAATGGGACTGCATCAAACTAACAACCTTTTGCACAGCAAAGGAAACTATCAATGAAACAGAAAGGCCACTTACTGAAAGAAGATAATCACAAACAATATATTCCCAATATACAAATAACTCATACAACTAATCATCAAAAAACAAATGACCCAATCAAAAAATGGGTAGAGGACCTGAATAGATGTTTTTCCAAGGAAGACATACAGATGGCCAACAGGCACATGAAAAGATGCTCAACATAATTAATCATCAGAGAAATGCAAATCAAAACCACAATGAGATATCACTTCATACCTATCAGAATGGCTATAATCAAAAAGGTAACAAATGTTGATGTCAAGTATGCGTGGAAAAGGGCACCCTTGTACATTGTTGGTGGAAATTTAAATTGGTGCAGCCACTATGGAAAACAGTATGGAGAGTCCTCAAAATATTAAAAACAGAATTACCATACAATCCAGCAATTCCATTTCTGGGTATTTATCTGAAGAAAACAAAAACACAAATTTGAAAAGATGTATGATTGTCTATGTTCACTTCAGCATTATTTGTGACAGTAAAGATATAGAAGCAACCTAAATGTCCATCAACAGATGAATGGATAAAGAAGATGTAGTGACTATGTAATTATATTACAATGAGCATTGTGGGATGCACACAGAATAACCCATGGGGGTACCTAAACCTCAATGTTAATTATATTACAGTGAGCACTGGGTCATGTCAGCGGTCCTTCTCACTACCACACAGTTGCGGCTGTTGGGTTCTAATCAGTGTCTTGCTGGCACTCATTTAGAGAAAGTAAAGCTCTTTTATGTTGGAGAGGGGCCTAACACCATCTTCCAGACCATCCTCCCTCTCCTCCATCTATCTGCCCAGTGCCCCTATTTATCTAAATACCTAACAGGAGCAGGGACATATATTAAGGTGAAAAATCTGAGGTTTTATGGTCTGCCTAGTGAGTTGTTAATAAAGCTGAGTAAGCAATTTTAAAAAAAAGATAGGCATAGATAACAAATTTCCAAACAATACAATGAACCAGTTCAAGCCATCAGATACGTAAATAACTCTACACTCATCAGATTGTTCACCTTATTTTGGGGCACAAATATAATATGTATTAAAATAATGTATTAGGCTGCAAAGGAATCTCTATTAGCTCCAAAGGATGTACTATACATACTATGTTTTCCAACCATAAATTGATTAAAATTAGCTATTCAGACAATTAAGAATAGCTTTAAGACATAGTTAGAAACTGAATGACCTATTACTAAATTACCCTTGGATTAAAGCTGAAATCATAGTGGAAATTGAGTAATTTAGATACATTTGTCATAAAATAAGAAAGTTTAAGCAAATAACTTAAGCATTCAATTTAGAAGCATTTTAGAAAGTAACATTAGCAAACAAGAATGAGTTAAGCATATAACAACAAAAACAACGCAGTAAAATACAAGAAAGCAAAATACAGAATGAAAAGGGGAAACAACTGTAAGTACAGCAAAGATTTTTTTTCTTTGTGAGAATTATAAACAACAATTGTAACATTTGGTGAATTCTGCTACAATGAACTACCATGAGCTGCTGATTCCTTTCTCTAAATTGTTAAAGGGAAACATATATTCTAAGGACTAAGATAAATTTTGAGAACTCATGAGGGAGCTGAAGGCTGTCTTAAAATGCGTATGTAGGAAAGAGTAGCTGCAATCTGGGATGGAGGACAGTTACAGAAAACAATGAAAGAATAGATTGGAGAAAGGCAGTTTTATTTCTGTTGTCTCACTCCCACATTGCCTTGGGATAATTAATGTCTGTCCATTCAGAAGACTATTTCTCAGAGGAAACAGTCTTTCTTTTATGTCTCCAAATGCTTCCACTTAAAAAAACTCCTTTGTTCTCTTCCTCACACATACAGCATGAGGGGAGTAGGAGGTGGGCAGGCTGGCAGGAGAATGGGCACAAACTTAATGTAAGTAAATTTCAGGTATTTTACAAGGTAAAGTGCCATGTTCATTATAGTATTTATGTATTTATTAATCATTTAGCATGTGAAAAACTGTACTTCCATTTTTCTTTGGTCCCTATCTTTTTGTTTAGTGTGTCAGAATTTTTTGGGATTGTGCTCATAACCTTCCCATGAGCCAAATGGGTTTTAGTTGTGTAATTTTAAATAGTGTGGTGATTTTTAGGAATGTATTTGTCATGTTATAGCAGAACTAGCTACAACGATCACCAAAAGCCTTTGTAAAGCCACTTCTGGACAAGATAGGGTAACAGGGACCAGGTTAGCCTCCTACTTAGAGCAATGACAATAACAAACACAAG